GAAAATAAACATGATCTTGATCTTCTTAGCCAGTTCAGTTTTAATTCATTGTTGTCCAAGGGTTGTTGTTGGTTATTTTGCTGTTTGTTTGTTTTTTCATTGATAGCCTTCTTATGGCCCTCTGGTAAGACAGCAGTTGAATAAGCAACAGTTATATTAATATATTCCAATTTACAATAAAAGATGGCCTATCAAGTTTACAAGTCTGGTCCCCATATCTTGCCATAAGATACAATACACCTACTTGACTCAAAAATAAGCCCCATTAAAATAATTTCTGAATATGAAAACATTAATGATTTTTGGGGTATCTTAATCATGTTATCTGACAAATACAATATGTATACAGCCTGTTTTGAAAGTCTTATAATGATCGCAGATGCTTTCCAATGATTCTTCACTTAATGTTGAAGCTGTGGCATCTGTTTATTTAAAATAAATATTGAGTCCCTTCACAGTCTGTGGTATAACTGTTTCTAAACTGCTGCTTCTAGCTAGTAGGATTATTTCAGAACTGCTGTGCTTCTCAGCCTGTATTTATTGTCATGGTTATTGTTATGGAATAGGTATGATTTTCATGGTCTGATTTATGAGATTAGCATTGCTTCTCTTGTGTGCAGTAACCTACAAAATGATTTATTTCTGTGATAGGTGGTAAATTCTGAATCCTTCAAAATTCCATGTGCATATATTTCATCCCAACTTTATACAGATTATTAGTGGTAAGGGTGAACATTATTAAATTAATTGTCTAAAATTAGTGCTTAAAATACATTCTAGAACAAGTCACTTGTTGTAGTTTCTACCTTTTATGCCTTGACCCCAGCAAATTCAATGGCATTTGTAGAAATCCTGATCACACCAAAAGAATAAGATGTGCAGAGCGGCATCATGTTATAGATGCTGCAGTTACATACTTGTGTCACAATGCCTGAACAAAGTTCTGATATTTGTGATGTGACTCATATTTGTCCACTAAACAGAGATAGTATTCAGCAGGTTCTGACTAGTTCTGGAGAAGAGTAGCGGAAATTTTAAGTAGTTCAGAGAACCAGTAAATACCGCCTCTGACTGGAGATTTTACAGTATCCTTCCCCTGCCGTGCCCACCAAGCCATGCCCACAGAACCAGTAGTAAAAAAAAATGGAATCTCACTACTGCCTGGAAGACACCCTTGGTTAATTCTCAGTGTAGAAGAAAGAAAAGAACACTTGCCTGATAGTTTCAATTTTGACAAGTTGGAAATACCTCTGTGCCATAACTTAGAATATTTTTTGCCAAGCTGATCCTCTTCACCTGCGTTGGATGATAATTTATATTATTCATATCCTTAGTTTTGATTGGGAAGATTGTAACCAATAAGGCTTGAAGGAATCAGGTTGGGAGGGCTGATATAAAATAGAAATACTATGCTGGCACAGAGCAGAAAATTCCTAGGGAAAAGTAAACTATGTAGTTTCAAGTTGGACAATTGAGAGTGTACTTAATTCTCATCATAGATCCAGATTGTCGGCTGTTCCTTCAGAGGTAGGCTATGGACAGTAATATAGTAGAAAATTGTAGAACTGACACTGGAATCAATCCTTCTTTTTTCCTGACATCTCCTTCTAAAATGTACACAGATACACACAGAGACATTTTCTTTCTAGATAAATCATCTTCCTAGACAAACCTGCTTTTCAAACCAGTAGGAGTTTTCAGACTTTAGTTGTTCAAATCTACTTGAAGATTTAATTTCTAGTTGGCTGAAGTGTCATCCTGTTGCAAGCTCATTGCTGTAGCATGTAACATTTCTTCTCATCTCTTTCCTTCCTTCCTTCCTTCCTTCCTTCCTTCCTTCCTTCCTTCCTCCCTCCCTCCCTCCCTTCTCCATGCTTCAAAAGATTTGTCTCATTCTTTCTGTCTCATACACAAGAGTACAGAATAGAAGTGCAAATAATTTAAAAAGGGAGAGTTGATTAATGCTGATGAGGCAAAAATGCAGAAATAACATTAGAAAAATGTAAAGGAAGAAGACATGCAGGTAACTTTGTGACTTTCAGAGAATCAGGATGCAGATTCCCCATTTCCCTTGGATAAAGAGGAATATTAAACCTGCAGATTGATAAAGCAAAATGAAATCCCATTCTCTTCGTGCTTCAGGCCAAGCTCTTGAGTTAGTCAAAAGTGTCCAAATACAGCTTACCATATTTTAGTTTAAGCAGTTGCTGTAATGGCATCCAGGTATTGTACAAAAAATAACATGGCTAACTGCAATGGAGGTGTAAGGGGGACAGGGGAGTTCCTACATGGGAAAAAGACCTAAACTTGTTTTGAGTCTCTCATTGTCACGAAACAATACCATTAATTGTGCCATTATATCCTATTGAATAACTCCAAATCCCAAAATCATTGCATATGCTTTCCTATGCACTTTGGTCAAGTTGTCATAGAAAAGGAATGACCAAATTACGTTGTTGCTCTTTTCCTACCCCTTTTCCATGTACTTTCTGGATTGTTGTCCTGTTCATTGTGAAAACATGTAGTGGAAAGAAGGGGTAGGTGAGATGAAGTCCAATTATTTAAGTTGTATTATGCTAATAAAAATGCAGCCGAACTGTTAAAAACCATTGTTTATGCCCATTAAAAAGCAAACGGGACTTCAGAAACCTCAGAACTATGGAGAGACTGTGTATTTCAAAATATCAAATGGACACTGGAAAAAGTAATTTAAAGAGAATAAAATTTGTATTATTAAAACTATTTGATTTAATCAGAACTCCCACTATTATGCAGGTAGCAGTATGAGAGGGGAGGGGAAATCTAAAGATTTAGCCTGAGTAGTTTTTAAAGGAGACTGTGTTTATATGAAACATTTAAATATACTTCACCAACTAAATATATTTAATGCATAGAGCATAGTTTGATTAATGGCTGTTGGCCATAAAACAGAACTTCACAATCAGAAGCACTGTACATCTGAAAACAAGTTGCTGTGATTTAAAAAAGAAAAAAAAAACCGATTAGGAAAATGCTGCTCTGATGCCATGCTTCTGGGAAGTGTCTGAGTCAAGAGACCTTTCTTTTTATCAAACAGAAGACTTCTTATGTTCTTAATTAACACAACTTCCATGTGTTTAGTTCATAATTTTTAACAATACATTGTAACATATTTTGCTCGCTGCTTATGTTAGGTTATAATGTGCTGGACTGTAGCTGCCGCGTGTGTGAAGCCAATTTTAATATTTATTCACTCAGCGGGAAGAACACATGCTGTGGCTTTCTTAATGTACACTTTAACCACTGTACTACTGAGTGCGGCATACTAGCAGTAATAATTCATAGTGAGTCTCTTCATGCCATTATTGCTTAGGATCTTTTGGGGGTGGGTGGGTTAGAGTTCTAGTCACCTTGATTATATATATATTTCCTTGCTTTGAAGCTTTCATTGTTTAGATACTGAAAACATGATATTACCCAATGAAACCCAGCACTAAGGCCAGATTTGTGGTGTGGTTTCTGATGGCTTAGCACTTTACTAGGTCTCTGAGGACATCACCAGTAAATGTGAAAGAAGCCAACAATAGATTGGCATACTTTTCTATTTCCACTAGAATAGAGGAGTAAATTAAGTCTAACCTTAAATGTATAATCTGTCCTTGGGAAACAGAAAAAATAGGATATAGCATCTTCGAGCTCTCAGCATCCCTTATGAAGAAAAAAAATGGTTCTAAGGGTCTCTGATCTTGTGTTTTAGTAAAATAGAACTGCACGGCTGACTGACAGTTCTGATCTAAAGCATTTACATTTAAGTTTTGATCTCTCTGCTTTTGATTAAAACTAATGAGCTCATTTAATTCAAAATGGGAATCTCTGATAAGAGAAATAAGGTTGATGTGATTGGATTAGAGGGGCAAATTAAACTCTTAGAGCAGAAGTTTGTGCTTATATAGTGTATTAAAAAGCTGTTGGCGTATTATGGCGTGTTAGATGATGAGAAAAATTTCATAGTAATTCATATTTAATCAGAAGAAATGAAAGTACTAAATATAACATGGCTCTGCTTTTCCCCCGAGTGATAAAGAGCTGTACATTTAAAATGACATGAAATTCATGCTCTCTTTAAAAAACAGTCTTGAGACACACTGAAGAAAAAAAAGCATTATTGTCAGTGGGCTAATCACAACAGAGTAGAAATCCAAAGTAAAAATGGCTATAGGAAAGTAAATATATGCAAGTTAATATCAACAGCCTAACCCTTTTCAGATAAAGTGGAAAAACCTTGGTCGATAAAAGCAACAGTCTTTAAATTTGATGAAAACTGCTTGACTAGTGTCCTTTGAACTGCCTAAACTGAAATGTTTTCTTGCCAATATATTTGTAGAGGTTTGCTTCTCAATTAAACGTCTTGCACAACAAAAGTGTGCTTGCATTTGATAGGAAAATAAAAGCACTCGAGTACGTGACCTTTTTACTCATGTTCAGGTGGACGAATGTTACAATTATCTCTTCCCTACTCTCAGATAAAAGCCAGCTCCAATTTGACGGAAAGAGCAACGGGAGAGGGAAACTTCCAATTGAAGCGAGAAAACAACAATTTATTATTTGAAAATTGTCCATAATATATGGACTGGTGGTTTTCATGGGGGCATTGAGGAAGGCCACGTTGAATTGACAAAATTTGTGGGATAGTCTCAGAAAAATAAATAGGCTCTTTTCTTAAAATCAGTTTGTTTTTTCAAGTTTTTTTCTACTGTGGAGTTTTGCTTGCAGAGTTAAGAGAACGCTATGAATTGTCATCCTAAGCAGTTTGGCTCCCCTCCCCCACCCCCTATTTCTATCATGAGCAAGGTGAAAGAGATATTATTTATTTGCTTATTAGTTATGCCTACAACTTCTGTACTGGTCAATTAAAAAAAAACCACCTCTTCCACTTCTTGCATTTGGCCCTAGGTTAGCTATTCAGAAGAACTCTCTAAAAGTTAAATGATCAATAAATTATTTTGTTATGTCTATTTTAGTGGAAACTACAAGCCCAAGTCTACTTTCAACAGACAACAATCTAGAGCGTTCTTTTTTCATTCGGATGAAATCTACACTGACCAAGCGAGGTGTACACATAAAATCTTCAGGATATAAGGTAAACTTTTGTTTTGTCTCCCTAAATATTCTCCATCTTTTTAAAAAGATAAATGATAAATTGTAGCAGATCCCAGAATCTCCTCTCTAGAGCTTCATAACAGCTGAGCCTGGATAGTTTTCCAAATATTGCACAATTTGAGAAAGTGAAAGGCCATAGATGATATTTTTGCAGTTATATCCATCAGATATCATAGCAAGGTGAAAAAATCAAAAGCATTATTTAGTGTCACAGACTATCTGGGGCAGTCCTTAAAAATTCTTAATGTAGAATGAAATAATTAAAAGCCTCATTTAACACAAGAGATGCTTCTTAGGAAGCATATATTCCATGGATTTAATGAGAAGGAATGCTGTATTGGGAGTTTACAACTATTTTTCTATCACCACCAATGAATTGGGGGGGGATGTTTTATTTCAAAAATTATTTTCACTGGAAGAATTTTCATTGTTCTTAATGTATGTATGATCCTAAATACTTTTATGAACAAGGCTGGCTTTGAGTTGTTGGGAATTCAGATCCATCACTGATGTTGTGATTCTAGATATAGTTTTTCTTGCTTTAACTTTCTTTGTGATTAATAATCCCAAATTTCACTTTCAGTCCTTGCACTTAATTTCCTGTTTGTTCTGCTGCTATCCTGCTTTCTCTTGTTTTACAAGAGATAAAGATTTGTCAATATACTCAGAATATAACATTGTTGTTGCATGCCACCCCAACCCACATTGTTTGAGTTGAGTAGCTCTATGATTCAATTGAATATGTAAATTAATAAATACTTTTTCATGTTTTATACAACCATCTATTAACAATCCATTCTGTTATTTCTTTTCTTGTTATTTTGGTTATGTTATAGAACACTGAATCTAAAACAACCAGCCTACTCAAATTTATTTAGGAGCAATCAGACTTTGAAAATAATACAATCTGAAATGCCTTACTGTTATTTTGGATGCATGTCAGATGAGAGCAGGTATAAAACCAAAGTTCCTGTGCCAGGATCTTGAGAATATGAAAATCACAAATTCTTTCTTTGGTTATAGCTTGTGCTTATTGCTATTAGATTTAAGACAACTTGACTTGATCTTTAATGGAGATGATAGAATAAGTCTTTTTTAAAAAAATCTACCACACTCTTTCTATTATGCATATTATGTGCAATGGTTTTATAATAGTGAGAATAAACTTCCGGGTTGTATTTACAGCTTTTATCAACCCTATGTCACCCCGAAAGACTGCAGAAATATAACTTGTAGAATATACTAACAATATCTTGAAAGCCTACCAGGGCTTTCCATTGACCTCCCTTATATGAAACGGAATCAAGATGGGATTATACTCAGTCTTTTTCTCATGCCTATTCCTTTCCCAGCTTAGAGCTGTTGTTTGCTCTTAATGTGCCTCTTAATGGCTCTTATATGCTTGGTCAAGGCTATCTTTGCATTCCTCTATACATTTGGTGTTGATTCTTTATTGTGGAATAAAAGAAAGGAACCAACTTATTACAAAACAAAACAAAAAAGATAAAAGAAGATGGGAATACAGGAAAACAGACAGAAAATGCTGGAAAATAAGATTTTTCAGTTTAAGAAAAAAATTAAAACAATCTTTTTTGTGAAGAAGAAACATCTTAGGCATCTCCAGGAAAATGTATGCTCTGGAATTCTTGATATAAATGCAAATAATACTTCTGAATATTTTTAAGAAATCATTTTTTTTAAAGGATTCAATGCTTTGCCTCTAATGCTGAACTCAGTATGCTTTCATGTGGTACAAAACATACAATATAGTATCATTTCTTATAGGCAAATTCTAAGCTTCATAATTAAATATTTAATTGCTCTATATAAATTTAAGATAAGAGAGTTTGTGTCTGGTCAGTAATAGCAGAGAGTGGAGGGTTTTTTTGCATATGGCTGACAGTAGGGAATAGAGAGAAACTTTCCAAAATGACAACACTGACTTAATATTGGAATAAAAAGACAGACAAATTAACAGAGTTGAAAGCGATCTTGTAGGTCGTCTAGTCCAACCCTCCCCCCCGCCCAAGCAGGATACCCTACACCATTTCTGACAAATGACAGTTCACTCTCTTCTTGAAAGCCCCCAATGATGAAGCTCCTGCAACTTGCGAAGGCAAACTGTTCCACTGGTTGTTTGTTCTCACTGTCAGAAAATTTCTCCTTATTTCAAGGTTGAATCTCTCCTTGATCAGTTTCCATCCATTATTCCTTGTCTGGCCTTCAGGTGCCTTGGAAAATAGCTTGACCCTTTCTTCTCTGTGGCAGACCCTCAAATATTGGGATACTGCTATCATGTTTCCCCTGGTCCTTCTCTTCACTTGACTAGCCATGCCTAGTTCCTGCAAACGTTCTTCATATGTTTTAGTTTCCAGTCCCCTAATCATCCTGGTTGCTCCTCTCTGCACTTTTTCTAGACTCTCAACATCTTTTTTAATAGTGTGGTGACCAAATCTGGATGCAGTATTCTAGGTCTTACTAAGGCTTTATAGAGTGGTATTAGTACCTCCACTTGATCTTGATTGTATCCCTCAGTTAATGCAACTTAGGATTGCATTGGCTTTTCGGGCTGCCACCACACACTGCTAGCTAATATTTAACTGGCTGTCCACTAGGATTCTGAGATCTCTCTCACAGTTACTGCTATTAAGCCTGGTTTCACCCAGTCTATACATGTACTTTTTGGTTGTTCTTGTTGTTGTTGTTTTGCTTAATTGTAAGACTTCACTTTTCTGTACATTGAATTTCATTTTGTTAGATAGGGCCCAGTGTTCAAATCTGTCAAGATCCATCTGGATCTTGAGCCTATCATCTAGGGTGTTAGCTATTCCTGCCAGCTTAGTATCATCTGCAAATTTGGTAAGTTCCCCTACTATTCCCATGTCTAAGTCGTTTATGAAGATATTGAAGAGTACTGGGCCTAAGATGGAACCTTGTGCTACCCTATTGCTTACTTCCCTCTATGTAGACATAGAAGAAAACAAGTTTGAAAAAGACTTGAATGCTAGAGTGGAATAGTAGTTAAAGTCTAGGACTAACTCTCCTTGAGTTTCCTGAAGAATGGCAAGAAATAAATCTGATAAATAAGAATAAATGTATGTTCACACCTTGAACTATTGTTGACTGTGTAATAAACACTCAATCCTGAATTTCAACCGATGGTAAAATATTTCTGTCAAGTGACTAAATAAATTGTTTGACTACTGACACTTGAGTAACATGTATGTCGGCTATTATATTCTCAACATCAATTTACATATAACCTCAGGCATTTCTGAGGGAACGTTCTTGAGAAAGAACTTGGTTACTGTGATGCAGAGATTGTCTGGTGTTCAAGGTGGAATAGAAAACGTCTTGCAAAGTTTAGTCTTTATGAAAGCAGTTATTAGGGAAAACTAAGGAGACTTTATTTAACACATTTATCTATAATATAAAAAGGTCTCAGTATATATAGATCTACACTGAGGTTTTCACAAACTTTAGTGAAGATCTATATATTTAGCCCTTGTTATTATATAGTATAGTATATGTATTAAAATATAACCTCCTTAGTGGTTCCTAAGTGCTATGAAATTATTATTTATTTATGTTATACTGTATAGAAGTTGACTTTCTTTTAGTCAGAATGTGAAGAATTCAGTTTGTAAGAACTTCTCATTCCTCATATTTGGAGAAATCATAGAAATGTGAATATTTAAACATCATCTTTACTTCTTTAATAGCAATTTTTATCTCAGCATTTAGGCATATTATATTCTTTGGGAAATTTAATTCAATGCAATAAAATGAGATAAAAAATAATATGCAAACATTTAATTACTGGAATGCATCCAAAGTATTTGTAATGAACATTGAAAATTGATGGATATATTACCCCTAATCAACATTCTTGTACTAAAATAATCTTGAAATAGGTATAAGTTAAAAAATTGAAAAATCTTTGTATCTCCAATAATGTTTTCACACACAAAAATGGATACACACCCAATTAAATGTTGCTATTGCTATTCTGCCAAGACTATCTTACATTATGGACTATAGAATGAGGTAATCACAGTTCTCCTGAAAACCTTAATCAATCAGTCAATTAATCAATCAATTGATAATCCAATCAACCTGTTTAATCAAATCAGTCACTTGCTGTTGTACCTAGAATATATATGAATTGCATTATTCAATTCAGAAAAAAAAAATCATAATATCATGACATTGGAAGTGAGATATCAATAGAAGGCCTATTACAGATACTTATTGGGTTACAATAGCATTTGGGACCAGAATTTTCCCTAGTTACCAACCTAATTTTCCCATTTAGTAAATTTTCATCAGTAAAATGATGTGATCATAAAGCACAATACTGCGTGATTACATCGTTTAGCAACAGCAACTCTGGCATTCTAGGACTACTCAGGTCATAAAGTGGGAAGAAGTGGGGGTCCCAGGCAAGGAGTGAGGGTGGAGATGCCACACACAATCACTGTAGAGGTCAGGAGGTGTGCAAATTCTACAGGAGATTCTGTGGGTAGGCTCTAAGGAGTGCAGGCATACCAGCAAGGCCCATGGGCAAGTTGGCAAGAGCTCACAAGTGGGCTGGCAGTGGCTGCAGGTGGGCCAGCAAGAGCCAAGGGCAGGCACTAGGGAACATGTGCAGGCTGCCAGGGGCCCTAGTGGATTGGAAGAGAGATGCTGTGGACTAGGAGATCTCTGGAATCTTCTACTCTGTAGGAGGGCTTACAACTGGTCCACAATTATGATATTGCAGCAAGCTACAGTCACATGATTGTCATTTACAGCCACAAGCAAAGACAATGGGAAAGTTGGCAGAGAAGGTTGCAAGTTGATCCTATAAGTTGTTCTGCCATGTTTTTTTCCCCTGAGGAGTCCTTTCATTCATTGCTATCATAATTTTGAACAATTGCTGAATGAACCAGAAGGATTATGATTGGAATCAAGCCTCAGAGCCAAATCATAATTGCTGTT